CCAACCCAACCGTTGGAATTATATTCCTAACAAAAAATGGGGGGGAACATGCCCCGGCAACTGGGGAACCAGTTCGGAGGTGTGGCAGGCTTGGGTTGCTGCCAGTTCTGGTGATCCAGGCCAGGAAAACCACTACCGGTTTGGCCGATCCGGTCCGAACCGGTAGGAACCCACATTTGGTGCTATCTAACAAAATGAAATTCAATGGTGGAAAAAGAAGGACCAGGGGAGACATGATAGCAGCCTTCCAATATCTCAGGGGTTGCCCCAAAGAAGAGGGAGTCAAGCTATTTTCCAGGGCACCTGAGGGCAGGAGAAGAAGCAATGGGTGGAAACTAATCAAGGGGAATCACATAAACAAACAAATCGGCAAGGAGATCCAGACCGATCCACTGTAGTTCTTCCCTTTCTCCTCAATGCAGCAGGGAAGGTCAACTGAAAAGGACCAATGCCGCATCTTGAACACCCATGAATTTACACAGCGAGGCCGCAATTGGGTTATCGACACGCAATCTTCGGAAAACACTATCGAAATGATTCACACTAATGTTATTTAGCTGCAATACTTCCGTAATAAAAGGAATCAATGCGGGAGAGAAAAGACCTGTCCGGGGATTTGATTTTCTCATTTTAATGGCATACTTATTTACTCCCGCCAATCCTCCCATCGGATTTTCATTACACCACCTGGCGCTGTAAGTGGACCGGTATTGATAGGAGCTGCTGACTTCAGCTGGCTTCCTGAGGGCGCAAATTAAAAATAACTCATATTCGGTGACAAGGTTGCGTGCTAAGTGGCTGCGCCTGGAAGGGCCGTTATTTGAGAAGGAGCAAAACTCAGGAGCCTCTTATGTGAATATATTTTCCGAAGCTGATTTACAGCAGCAGACCTTTTAATCTGCAAACTCAGAGCCCGTTCGTGGTTAAGGCACCTGGCTAGAAACCAAGCGGTGGGGAGTTCTAGTGCTGCCTTAGGCGTGAGGGCTGACTTGGAGCCAACCACCAGGAGGCAGTGAGTTGTAGTCTCACCTTAGGCATGGGAGCTGGCTAAATGCTTTTGGTTCAATCACCAGGAGATGTGGAGTTCTAGTCCTGCCCTTAGGCATGAGAGCTGGCTGGGTGACTTGAAGCCAGAGGGTGAGTTCCTAACGGTTCGCACCAGTTCAGTGGAATCGGTAGTGGAAATGGCGAGTGGGTTGTTGAACCAGTAGGGACAGCATGCCCGCCACGCCCCCGAACCAGTTCCCCAGTTGCCACATCATCTTTTTCTGACCTTTTTAAATGTTCTGCGCATGCGCAGACCTATTCACAGGGAACTGCACATGCGCATGTAGCGTGCATCAGGTGCACGAGCAAGCCAAGCAGTGCGCACGTGCAAAATCGTGTGCGCACCAAACTGGCAGTAATGTCGGGAGAAACCCACCCCTGCTTGGAGCCTACCACCAGGAGAGAGGGGGGTGACTTCTAGTCCCACCTTAGGCTTGAGAGATGGCTGGATGATTTGGAGCCAACCAGCAGGAGTCAGTGAGTTCTAGCGCTGCTTTAGGCAGCATAGCTTGCTGGGTGGTTCAATCACAAGGAGATGGTGAGTTCCAGTCCTGCCTTAGGCATGGGAGCTGGCTAAATGATTTTGGTTCAATCACCAGGAGATGGTGAGTTCCAGTCCTGCCTTAGGCATGGGAGCTGGCTAAATGATTTTGGTTCAATCACCAGGAGATGGTGAGTTCTAGTC